GAAAGCAACCTAATACCGTTCACTCAACATGGTCATTGGGCAAGTGAACTAGGTGAGGCTCTCCTCATACAACTAATGCACCTATCAATGTTAAGCCCAAGAGGGAGGGTGGACATAGGTGGGGCATTTGATTTTTTGAGCAAATTTTCAATCAAATGCCCCACCGTCGGGCAATAAATATTGGTCAAATACCCCACCATTTTGCAATAAATACTATATTAATAAGTCATAATCGGTTCAAATTTCCCCAACTTGGGGCCAAAATGGTAATCGAAATCCCCAGGTGGGGATGCAATTGATGATCAAATACCCCACATATGCCCGAACCCCCCCCCCCCCTCTGGTGGTTAACATTGATAGGTGCATAAAGGTTTATTTATTGCAATAACTATTAATACACAATTAATTTTATATTCAACATGTGTTTGTACAATAAATTATCATGTATTTTTTAAATATAGATAAAATAAAGTGTTTGGGAATATTTTACTTGGTTGTACTGTAATATAGACTAAATAAAGTTGATGTTTCTCAGTGGTTGATTTATTGTGTGGTGATTACTATCAGAGACATTGTACTGCAAGACGTCCAGTTATTCTTTTGCAATAGACCTTCTGCATAATGATGTCACAAGGCTTGATGCCTGTTGAGAAATGCTGGTCTTAGTACTCATCGCCCAGAAAAATTAAACAATTTATCCACTATCGACATTTTCCTGGGCAATGACTACTAAGACCAGCATTCCTTGCGGACATTTTGTGACATCATTATACATAATGTCTGTTAGACTGTTCTTCTATAATTCCCAATTTCTTCTGTAGTTGTTAGTTGTGAGTGAGCAATAGTTGAGTAAATAGTTGAGCACCATTGTCTCCCTGGGTTATATGTTCCATGTCATCTGACCTTGCTTTTACCTAACAGTCAGAAGGTTAAGGATGGAAAATAATGAATTGGTGGGTATTTGTAGGCAATATTCTTCAGGGTATTTTATCACATATGTACATATTAGTAATATCACCACTACTCCCTTTTCAATGTTAGTGTTCTGGTTAGTACTTTTAATCATGCCGGGTCTACTGAGACCAAACCAAATAGCCACAAAATTGAAAAGGGAGGTACGGGTAGTGTTTAAAGTGAGTAAAGATAAAGGGTATCAATTCGACTCTTCATTCCCAACGTTTGGAAAAGTAAGCCATATAACATAAATGCATGCCATGCAACATGTGGCATTGTCCAATATACAGAGTAAGAATTTATACAATGTATGAACATTTCCTAATACTAAACTATATTTTTGGTCAGTCTTCATGTCAGTTCGAAGAATATTAATGACTTGTTCTACATTTATCATTTTGGGATTTTCCTTGCCGTTTATATTCATAGCTAGATGCACTCAGTTATCTTCAGCACTGCCAGATTGCAGCAAAGTTATTTTGCCCGGACTATATGATTTGTCTGACGCTCTAGCTAAGTCTTTCGCTCATGTTGTTAATACTACAAATGCCTGAAATCGCTACACCTACGCTATATATTTCTAAATTGATTTAGCTTAGTTATGAATTCAATTATTTTACCTCTTTTCAACCACAAAGATATTTCAACTACAGTAAATGGACAGCGAAATTGATATTGCTTCGTGAACTTTATCAAGCCTCCATTTTCGTCCCGATTTATCATGAATTTTGCCTCAAATATATACAGGAATCGGTATAAGCTTTTGTGCTGTCTATTCCAGTATTTTTTGAGTTTCATCAGCCGTGTATTTACATCTATGTGCCGAAATTTTTGCCTCTATTGCAATGCGCTCACTCCCAAATGGCCGCCATCTTGAATCATAAACTTGAAAACGTCAGCCGACGTTTTCAAGTTTTGTTATGCGCAAGAAGAGATGCGCACACGGTGGCACTGCTCCTTTAAGGTTTGCAAAAGACAACCTTTCTTGAATTAGCTATATATATATATATATATATATATATATATATATATATATATATATATATATATATATATATATATATATATATATATATATATATATATATATATATATATATATATATATATATATATATACCGGGTGGCGCAAAAAAAAGTTAACCTGTTTGATTTGTTTTAACTTAAAAGCTAAAAGAGCTATTACACGCAAACTACGTGCACTGCATTCAGTATTGTCTAACTTAAATTTTGATATACGCCCTGTGCATTTCCGTGCAATATTGACGGAGAGAGCTGCGTTTAAACTTGAGTAACCATTTTTGAAAGTGTCAAGAATTAGCCAAAAACGGCCTATTAAATATTTAATACAAGCAATAACCTGTGCTTAGACGCACTATAGTCAGAAAGTACAAGTTCGTTGTCAGAGACCTGCCCAACGCCGCCGGTATAACCTCATGAGCATTATTTGCCCTTGCATATTCTAAACATATCGAAACTCTTTGGTCATTCGTTAAGCGAGGCGTATTGATAAAAAAACACTTGACGTTTCTTTCTTGGAACATTAAAATTTGATTCCCCAGGGTCATTGAATATTTAGAATATATCTTTCAATCAAAATCGCTTCATAATTTAATTTTCATGCATTCCCAAAGACCTTAAGCAAAAATAAAAGAGCTCATCCATCCAATAAACATTGTTAATTTAAACTTGACTTCATTGAAACGAATATTTACGATAAAATGGTAACGATTATCAAATTAGTTTAACGGCCGTTTTTAGCTAATTCTCGACACTTCCCAAAATGTTTATTCAAGTTTAAACGCAGCTCTCTCGGTCAATATTTCGCGAAATTACACAGGGCGTATATCAAAATTTAAGTTAGACAATACTGAATGCAATGCACGTAGTTTAGCTGTAATAGCTCTTTTAGTTTTTAAGTTAAAATAAATCAAACAGGTTAACTTTTTTTTGCGCCACCCGGTATATATATATATATATATATATATATATATATATATATATATATATATATATATATATATATATATATATATATATATATATATATATATATATATATGTATATGTATGTATATGTATGTATATGTATGTATATGTATGTATATGTATATGTATATGTATATGTATATGTATATGTATATGTATATGTATATGTATATGTATATGTATATGTATATATATATGTATATATATGTATATATGTGTATATATGTGTATATATGTATATATGTATATATGTATATATGTATATATATATATATATATATATGTATATATGTATATATATATATATGTATATATATATATATATATATATATATATATATATATATATATATATATATATATATATATATATATATATATATATATATATATATATATATATATATATATATATATATGTATATATATATTTATAATATAGCATTTGTAAATTCTGAACGCTGATTGGCTAAGAGCCGTGTTGATATAACTCCATGTCAACACGGGAAATTTTCCGCCGCTTGTTAACACGGAAATTGTTCTTATTCTTCGGGCTTTTGACATTGCTATATTATAAAACAAATATAAAACATTTTTTCCGTATTGATATATAGTTATATCAACAATCGTGGAAGTTGGGAAAACTCGAAATTCTGTGAAAACACTCCGCCCTTCGGGCGTCGTGTTTCCACACAATTTCTCGTTTTCCCAATTTCCACTCGTGTTGATATAACTGTATATCAACACGGAAAATGTTTTATATTTGTTAAATATATAATATATAATATATATATAATATATATATATATATATATATATATATATATATATATATATATATATATATATATATATATATATATATATATATATATATATATATATATATATAAAGATAAAATAAAATAAACCTGGTTTACTTCATAAGATTTATTCACTACAAACTTGTTTCGTATGACAAGCAATGCTTGCCACACTCATCAGGTGAAATGAGTGTGGCAAGCATTGCTTGTCATACGAAACAAGTTTGTAGTGAATAAATCTTATGAAGTAAACCAGGTTTATTTTATTTTATCTTTATCTATATTCTTGCTCAACAGGAATTTGTTCCGGTGTCTACATTTTGACAATAGTTAATTTCTAGAGTTCATGGAGCTGAGTTTAGGATAATAAATAATTGGAAATTTTTCGTGCAGGCATAAGTTGCATCGTTTGGTTTTGTTTGAGTAACTTTTACACTTTTTCATAATTCTCCATTTAGTATTTTACGCTAGACTCTTTCAAATGCCAGACATATTTACTTAGTTCAGTAGCATGTTTGTATCTGGAGTTTCTGAAGGAACTGGTGTGACCATTGTACCTTGTTTTGAATTCCCCTTCTGTATGCCCTACATTGGTCTTTTCCTCTTTTGTATCGTTTCTAGTCACAGTTGCTTGATAAACAATGCTGCTTGTTAAGCATTTACTGGGGAGAGGACAGGAATCTTTCTTACGGCAATTGCATTCACTACTCTTTTCAGTCGTTTGATTCTTAGTTGTTTCAGTTTTGTTTTGTTTGTTGAGTATTGTCTTGTATGACCAGAGACAAGACAATGAACGTTAGGCATGCAGCTGCAGCTTAATTTCAAAGTGTTTCGATTAAATATCTTGTGTAGAGGGCGGTTAGGAGGGAAGGAATCGTCGATAGCTTGAAGAAATTTGTATCCAATGTTGGTGATGACATTGGAGTTGTATGGGGGGTTGAACCATATTATATTTCTGCTTCTAGATCGTTTAGTGGTTGGGGATTGTAATCAAACTTGTAGTCGTAACCGCTTTTTTTTGTAGTGCTTCTTGATATGGGGGAATGGCTGAATCAAATGATTGCTTATCCGATGATATGTTGGATAGTCTATTGTTTATGGCTTGCGGTATTGATCGTAATATTGATGGTGGGTAGTTACTTTCGCGGTTTACGTATTGTGGTGTGTTTCCGGGTTTCATGTAAGGCCTGTATGATGCGGATCGTAGGTCAAGTGTGATGTCTACAATCTTTGCCAGAAACTATGGGACAGCTGCTGTAATTTCATATATTTTGAAAGGAATAGCACCCCCCGTTCCCCCAGTTCAATGTTGGGCCAACAAAAATCTGATGTCTGGATGCGCGGCGCCAACATTGAAACGGGTGGGGGGAGGGAGGGTGGAAAA